ATGAGTAGCAAAGGGAAAAAAAAAAAAGAAGGTTCCCCTAGTATGGAAGAGGGATCAATGGAATCCACAGGTCGGAGCCGTTATGTGCAAGAGTGTGAAAGCCCACAAGGCAAACTTACCCACATTCCGATTAAATGGGTTCCCTCATGAAGTGAAATAATATTTAAAAGTTGGAAAAGCCTTGAAAAGATGGCGTATGATGGAATTGATCTTAGGAAGAAGGACCAAGAAAAGGTGGAAAAGGTAACCATTGGAATTATCGTCCAAGGAAGGTATCTGCTATTTGAGATTTCCCTCCTAGTTATGGAAAAGGTGTTGCACCCGTAAGTAGGGATTATGTGAATGAACAATAAGGTGAGAATGGTGAGAAGGATTATGAGATAATGTTGATGTAGTTGAACTAAATTATGATTGTTATTTATATGTTTAGAGAATTTGAGACATGGTTAATTTTTATGTGGTTTGAACAAATTAACTAGTAGTTAATTTAATGATTTGGTTAAGTGTTGAAATTTGTCATGCATTATTCAATGGGATTAGCATTGGTAGAAGTGTATAAAACATATAATTATTTCTTGTAGAGTATGATTAATGGTAGAATGGAGGCACATGGTGCCATGATATAGACTGATAATTGACACAACATATACTAATGGAAGTAATTATGGAAACTGAGAAAGATGAATTCTCGATTTAGTTGTAATGTGAGAAAAAGGTGTTAATCAAGGAATTGTGGAATGTTATAAATGATGAATAATTAGACATGTGGAGTTATATATATTGTGCATCCAATGCAAAATATGGAAAGAATGTCCTAAGATGGGATTTATTGAATGATGGTAATATAACACCCCATACCCTCGTTTAGAACTTAATAAGACTTTATCGATGAGAAGAAGGGTTATTTGACATCAGTCTAAGTGTCAAAGAACGGTGATAGATAAAAAGAATATTTTAAAATAAAATAATATTTTATGAATAAAATATTATTAAAATATTAATATTTTATTTATTAGTGAGATTAGTTAAAAGAGAGGGTTATGTGACTAATCTAAGTGAGGGAGAAGAAGAAAAGTAGAATTTAAAAAAAAAGAAAAAGATGAGAGAAGAAAAGGAAAAAGACAAGAATTGTTACTATACATTGACTAAACGAAAAGCTTTCACCGTTCTCCGTTGACTTTTGCTTCTTTTTCTTTCCACTTGGCCGGCCAATTAAGACCAACTTTTTCTATTTTCTTCTTATCCCAATTGGCTTCCAGAACCTTCACTTTTCTATCACTTTACTCATTTTTTTCCTTTTCAAAAACCACTCTTTCTCCCTTTTTCATTCTTCAACTCGTGGCTTCTTCGAAGGAAAACCGTGCATCAAGTCGTACCATTTTTCTTTCATGCTTTTTTCTTTTCTCCTTCCTCCTCATGAGTTGTCTTTCCTTTTTCCTCCCCCATAACCGAACCAAAGGAGAGCTTGGTGGTTTGGCTTAAAAATTTCATGGTATGGAAGGTGGAAATTGTTAATTTAGTTGAATGCATGCAAAGATTTAAGAATTCTTTAGTAAAAATTGCTACTATATATGATTATATAAGCATGGGATTTACTATGAAATTTAGGTAAGAAAGTTGTTGGTCAAACTGTTGCCATGTATACATGCAATTAAGTAAATTGGGTTTAGATGGTTGCTAGGAAGCGTATAAGTAGAGGAAGTGTGCTAGGGTGGCGTGTCAGACGAGATAACCAGTGATCGACACGTAGTATTAGTTATTTGCATATCCGAATTAATAGTGACATAGTGATCTGCTATTGTCAGGTGAGTAGGGGGTGTCCATTGTAAAAATTCGCATAACTATGTAAATATATATAAATATGTGTTGGTTTATTTTAATGTAAAAAATTGTGGAAAGCATGAGTTGGTAGAAATGTTAGAAAATTATGGATGTTATGACTCTGAAAATGGCTTTGAATATATATAAGCTATATATATATATATATACACGCACGTAAAGGTTTTTGAAATCGAGAAACAAACTTTTTAATATGATTTATGTCAAGTATGTGCCTTATAGTTTGTGTGGTGTGCATTCATGATTGAAACACATATCCACCATACTAAATGATCTTTCAACCTCAAGCAAAGAGTTATATTTTAAAGTCTTATAAGGGATCTTATCATGTTACTACGTGAATATTTTGGTAATGATTTTGAAATGAACTTCTAACAACCCAACTATATTTTAAAATAGTTTTATCAAACCGGGAGATTTGAGAGTAGGTCGATTGTCACTTCGGTTATGTGTGACCCTTGTGCACAAGTGAGCTCTAACTAGAGAACCTTTGCATCACCGACAGGCTGTTAGACTTGGCTGAGGCCATGGTCTGTGATT